TAACTGCCGATAACCGGGAGTCACCTGATGAAAAGAAGCGTTTATTGCTAGATAGGTCAACAAGCGGACACGACAAAGTAGGTGAACTAATAACTGAGCGAGATTGTTGGCCACCAATAATCTTAGGTAGAAAGCCGGCAAACTGAAGGGATAGAAGTCGGGAGGAGACGGGGCAGTGCTATAAGCAAAAAGTAATAAATATTCGTTATTTACGATTTCATATTAGCTACAATAGCTTCATACAGTCTTACATGGAAAATTATATCTTATATCGAATTCTCACAACGAACGGAACGAAAAAAAACAGATCAAATCCAAAAGCCTCACCATTGCTTGAAGACTTTTTTGAAAAGAAGAGGCCTCCTCAAGAAGACGATTGGAGAAGGGTGATATGGATGTAGTTAAAGTCGCTGGCAGGGCAGTACTCTTACTACGAAGCCTTGGGTCTTCAACCAAACTTGGTGTCCTAGCTACCATGGTAATACTGTTGCCACGATTAAGTGGGCCTCTCGCAGTACCCAGATGTACTTTTTCTAATCGTGCTGGGTTCGAAGGTGGAGAAGAAAATATGTTCTCATGGACTGATGGAGGCATGAAAGGACCAAGGGATCCACTAATTCCCTGTATTAATGCGGATCTCTCCCGTCTTCCGATAGAAGGAAAAGAAGGCGTTTTGGCAGATTGTAAATGCGTGAGTCTATTAGTCTCTGATGAAATATTCAAAGTGCAATAGGTATTTGAGGAAGGGATGAGATGATGAGAATACGTCGGATTCACAGTGTTGCTACTCGCACTGCGGTCGCGATTTGTTCCAAAAGACGTAGAAAACAAAAGGCTGTCCACAAGAGAGCGAGTACGAGTATCACGCTCAGAGACCAGGATAGGAGACTCAATGAGTTGGCCTGAAGTTGGTGATTTGCAAAAACTTGAGCATGAGACCTGCATTGGCAAGCTGCCCGTTAGCGAAGATGAAGTACAAGAAACAGGTGGGTCGAAAGACTCGTGTTTCTCCAAAGGTGGTGATGAGAAGTTAGGAGCAAAGACCATGCCAGTGGCGAGAATCTGAAAGAAAGTGTATAGAGACGAAAAACGAAATCTGAAAAGATATTGGAGCCTAGGTTGAGTGTTGTTTAATGCAAGGAAAGAAAGACACATTAATGCCATTAAATAATAGGAAAAATAATTGTGCATTAGGAGCATGTAAAATCTACTTTTAGAATGTTTATGTCACTATATCAAAAGATGAAACTCTTTGGTCGAGACATTAGATCAGACAGAAAATCATAATATAGATTACATAAAAAAGTATCACCTCATTTTCTTCATATGAATGTGTTAGGTGTATGCTTTCGGCTGTGATGCAGCTTAAATTATATATATAACTAAAATGTTGGATAAATGGATAATGAGCTATAATATTAGCTGTTCGAAAGAGGTTTATACGCCTAGTGGGATATTGTATTGTTGTAGAACATTAATAAGAATGACAAAGTGGGGACGCTACTGTGGATGGTGTCCAGAAGTAGATGCTGAAATTTTATCACCTTGGAATCAACATAGCAAATCTAACTTAAAAAATATGCATGAATAAAAGTTCCTGATAAAAAGGGAAGATTTCCAAGAATCTGTAGGTACAGAAAAAGAAAAAAAACATTAGATTTGTAGTGACTTTTAATCCACAATCAGTTTGGCTACATCACTCACGATTACCCTCCAATGCGGAGCATGACTCACAGTGTCCCACGAGGGCTAAGCGAACCCAGTCCCCGCATCGAGCCTTTCGGCTGAACCAATCAAGACGTGGCATTAAAAGTACACAAAATTATTTTGAGTCATAAACTCACTAAACCGAGACTCTTCTTGCCCCGTCGTTACCCTCTGTGAGCGAACAACGTCCTTTGCACTAGCAACACACTCCGCCATTGTCTGTATTTTTCCCAAACCAAGATCATCGCCTATAATTGTCCTTCTTATATACAAGGCACTACGTGACTCGTATTCGTGTTCCCCTATTCAAGACTGAGTTATTCTTTACGGTAGCGCGAAGCAGAGAACATATTTATAGTAAATATTTTATACTGAATATATAAAGATCAAGATGTTGTGGCCTCTGTTATTGGCGCAGTCTCCTTTCGATTTATAGAAGTGGGTTGAGCTCGTTGTCGCAACTTGGTATTTGTGTTCAGGGAGACTATGTAGAACGCACCGAGTCCGAAGTCGTCTGCCATAGTAGTTGTCATGATTCCCTGCATCAGACAGCGGACTTTGTACATTCTCAAACGTTTCGGCATCATCAGTGAGTTTTGCCATTCGCCGCACCAAGCTACGAACGCGTCAGAGACAAATGAAGCCAATCCTTCCACAAACGTTCTGCCGAAAACGGTTACACTATCATTTCTCTTTCTGTCCTGGCCTATCTATCTAATGTTTACCCTCTTATCCCACTGCCGTCCTATCACAACTTCTCACTTGGTTACGTTGTTATTGATTAGAGCTAGACTTTTGTTTTCTTTATTAGTCTGATAATAGTTGGATATTCTTAATCCCCTATTATTTTTGTATAATTCAAATGCTGAATTTACGATCAGGTTCTGTTATTATGAGTCTCACTGGTTGATGATATTGTCTTTTTTTGTTAGGTTACAGTATTATAAGTGAAATTATGTATGATACACTTTTAAGTTTCTGTCTTTTTGGTATATCAATTAAAAGTGCTTCTTTTTTATTTATCTCTTGATTATTAGGGGCAATGCGTGCAACAAGCCCTGTAAGTGCTTTAGTTCATTCTTCTATTTTGATGGCAGAGTTATATATATATATATGAATGTCTACAAATGATATTCAATGAACATTTTTTTGTCTTAGAAATGATATTTGTACTGAATGCTGGTGACCAATGCCAAAATTATTCACAAACCTGAATCTCAAAGTCATCAGAGATAGTTATACGGAAGTCGAGTCCAGTTAATGCGCAGGGCATTAGATGCCGGAATCGGAACCAGGTTAGCTGGTTAAACTCGCGTAGCAACAGAGTTAGCGAATGAGTGACTCGAGGCCTAACAGCCTCACAGGAAGAGCTGTTTGTCCGACTAGGACTTTCCCATCCGTAGATCAGGGGATCAGAATCAATATCTTCATGAGAAGTCTGGTATCTGAGAGGGGCTTTCGGATTTGCGGTTATTGCTATCGCCTCGCCTTTTTCCGTCACTGAATGATAAGTAGATGGGCTAGAAAAATGGTGAGCCTTGGATTGCCGCCGAGAATGTGGCTGAGGCTGGATAAATGAGGCTTGATACAAACATTTATCTTTTGTATTCGATGGTGAAATGGTAAATGCAGAAGCAGATGAAGTGGAAGAAAGAGGCAAAGTAGTGCAAGATGGCCAGTCAACTTCGCTATTACTTGGAGTTGCCGTTTCAGATCCGCCAACGTCGATCAAAGTAGGAGAGAAATTAGGTGAAGATGCGAGAAGACCCGGATCAGGGGAAGTAAGCGGAACCAAAGAGTCAACAGGAATAAGAGAACTTAATTTTTTAGAGTCGTTAATAAAAAAATTATTAATATTTTCGTCATTAGTGCTACAGTTAATAGGAATTCTGTTCGCTTCGGTGGCCACATGGCTATTTAGGCTAACTTTGGACATTGCATTCATTGCTTGTTCACTTGAGGTGGTTGTGCAAGCTAAATTTGAAGAATATAATGGGACGGATAAATTAGAAGTTGTTATAGCATTGGTTTCGCTTAATCTCTGTGAAGGTGATAACACAGTACTAATAGGATGATGAGTAAATGCCACTGAACTGGGGGTTGAATCCAATTCAAATGATGTCCGGGTCTCCATGAAAGAATCGGGCGAAGAAATATGGGCTCGATGGACTCTAATAAAGCTGTGAACTGGTTCCCAGGAGAATTTTGAAGGTGAGAAATAGTTCTGGAAAGACTTAGACCCAATTTTATTGCAAGTATCACAAGTCTGACAGTGATTTTGATGATCTTGATGATGCAAGGGGAAAGTGGAATTTTGAGGATGATTGTAGCTAAGAATTTTCTGTTCCTGTTCAGTAATGTCTAAATCGATGACCCTGCCAGATGGTTCAATACGGGGCCACGTCCAACACGATCTGGGCCACTGCTGAGAATGACCAGAAGCGCTGGTAGTATTGGAAACCAAGCGGGAGGAAGAAGCGAAGTAAGAGGCAGAACTGTTTGGTAAAGTCTGAGTAGTAGTAAGCACAAGTCCTATGATAAAAGGGAGAGATAAGAGAGGTCTTATGGATAGGTCGGATAATAAAAACTATTTTAAAAGCCAATTATTTAGAGTTAATAAATATGAAATAGTTAATAAATGGAAAATTTTACATAATACAGACGTATGGGTTCAAAGTAAAATTAATCGAAATTGGAATTATTCAGTCTCGTACTAATAAAATGACAGATCTAAAATAATAATAGAATAGAAAAAGAAAAAGTATGAGTATCAGACAAAGCACGTAAATAAAAAGTTGACCAATACATAGCAATTTGAGACAGCGATGCAGCGATTAATAGCGATCAAATAACTCCAAATACAATAAAAAACAAAGATCAATAAACCCAATTATATCATTACTAAAGTAGAGGATAAATAAACAGAGGAATTAACCTAATATTCATAATGAATAGGCATTCATAATATCTCCTATTATTCATAAAAGATCACATCCAGAAAATAAAAGCTTTTCTTCAAACTGTCACTTAAGGTAGTAGAATTCTTTACAGCTGAACTGCACAAATCATGATATGATATGGGTCAAACTTAGTACCACGTTCACCGTCCGACTTTGGAAATGATCATGCATACAATGGACTGCGGACTAGGTGAGTTCCTCTAAGTCTTCTTACCAATATGACCAAGTTGTGAAAACAAGGTCAAACAACTTCAAAACGTATTATATTTGCAAAAAAGAGTTAAAATAATCATTATTCTAACTTGTATAAAATACCCATTTCTTTCAAAATGATGGAGCCTATCAGTCGGTATAATGATTGAAACAGGTGTCTTCAACTAGCGCATTAACCACCAAGAGATAGTAAAATAATCCATTTATGAATGTGTTTCTAAGACTCTACTGTTGGCACGGCCCCCTCTAGCAAGCTGTCACTATCCTTGAATATAGTCTTGAGTCTGAGACCAAATGGATATCTATTCTGGAAGTACTCGTGAACTTCTAATTAATATTTAGTTAACGATAAAGATCTCTGCCTCTTCCAATCTCAAGATATTTTTTTCAAAAACCTTGATGTCCGGAAAGTATGCATTTCCTCTGCTGGTAGTGCCTCAATTATTGAGTGTAAAAAAACCTTCGAAATATACTCGCCATTCAAATAGCCGAAAATTTTAAGAAGTGTTATTGAAGCTAAGACATTCCATTCTTTTTCCAACCTTATAAACGTGAAGCCATTCTAAGTCCACACGCAGTCTTTAAAAATTAAGTTGAGTATTATTTTTGACTGTGCATTATCCTCATTAGTAAATCCGATCGAAACGTCTCTGGATTTTTATTAGAATTTATTTCTAG